CTTTGGAAACCCTAGACAATTCAATATGTGGGTTCACTAAACAATCAATGCATGCCGAATTGTTTAGAAAAACAAAGTTGATAATATGGGATGAAGTTCCTATGCAGCATCGATACTGTGTTGAGGCAGTCGATCGCACCCTTCAAGATATCAGAGACGATAAAAGACCTTTTGGGGGTATCACTGTTGTCCTGGGTGGAGACTTTCGACAAATATTGCCTGTTATTCCTAAAGGCGTTCGTGAGCAAATTGTGGGTGCATCATTGAGACGGTCTTTGCTATGGAAAGATATATGTGTTTTGACTCTAGGTTTAAACATGCGATTAACTCGCACTGACGTTCGAAATACTAATTTTGCTAAATTCTTGATGGAGGTAATATTTCATTCCACCTTGAATTGTTGAATTTTTTAACATGATGCTTTGAATTAAATCTCACTTTGTGACTAATTATACTCTCATTTTTTAGATTGGGACCAATCCACGTGAAATTGTGCAACTTCCATCTACAATAAACCGGTGTCACAATCTAAATGAATTGATATTTAAAATCTATCCACAATTGGATGTGATTGGTATAGTGACTCCAACCTTTCTCACTGAACGCACAATTCTCTCTGCGCGTAATGACGACGTCAGTGATATAAATGCTGCAGCACTGAATATTACTCCGGGAGAGACAATTACTTTTTTAGCTGCAGATAAAATGTCTGAAGGTGATGAGCTTGACCGTACCATTAGGAATCGATATCCTAATGAGTACTTAAACTCGCTGAATCCTTCAGGGTTGCCACCGTTTAAATTGGAGTTGAAAGTTGGATGCCCAATAATGTTGTTACGAAATATTGCACCAAAGGATGGACTTTGTAATGGCACGCGATTGATGGTTGTTAGATGTGCCTCAAGGGTAATCGAAGCTCAGATATTAAATGGAGATAAAATTGGCAATTTAGTCTTCATTCCGAGAATATCAATGACACCAACATCTTTGGACTTGCCTTTTCGAATGACAAGACGTCAGTTTCCTGTCCGATTAACTTATGCTATGACAATCAATAAAGCCCAAGGACAATCTGTGAAGTTCGTTGGGATTGATTTGCGGACACCTGTTTTTAGTCATGGACACCTTTATGTGGCACTATCTAGATGCACATCTTCAGATCGTATTACAGTCCTCCTTCCAGAAGATGGGTCGAATTGCACTACAAATATTGTTTACCCAGAAGTTTTGTTATAAGATTCTTACGACAAGTAAATGGTATAGTTTAAACAAATTTATTTCTACTGAATTATGTAATCTTTTCATCATTTCAACTTTTAGTTTTACAATGAGATTCATTCTTTATAGGATTGGAGTGAATTTGTCAACGAGAACGATAGTGTATATACAATGGACCTTTGTGGATGGGGCCGACGTAATCAGGTAAATCTACTTTATGTCACTGTATTAAAATAACTTTACTATTCCTACAATATAAATATTGTGTTACTTTTATTGTTTATGTGAATAATTAGGTGGTTGTGCATTCTCCTCATTGGGCAAAGTGCGTTCGTATTGATACGAGGACATTAAGGATAGTGATGAAGAGAAGGTTTAAAGGGATGAATAAGACATTTAAGAGAGTTAAATGATATGCAATCCATTACCGACCTGTCCACCTTTGACGATGACTAACTCATCACTGACCAAACAATTGTTTAGGTATGAAAATCTCTCTTACTAAGACTCTATATTTCTCTATTCTCATGTAGACACACAACACACAATACATGCACAAACACAAACACATAACTGTAACCAATCAAACACTCGCAAATCAAACTCACACACCATTATATTGTCACTAATACAGATTTATGATTGAAATCATTAAGCAAATGAACCGTCTGTTGAAATGATACTAAGAAAATCTTATTTGATTGTAAGTCTCTACATTCCTCCATATATTTTCCTAAATAAATTGATAATTTGTTACAAACTCTCTAAATTCTTACTTATATCAATCTAAATCATTCCAGGGTAATGTAATTAATTTTATTGAATCCAACTAACGAAAAAAGTAAGGGGTCTTATGTTTCGGATTTACAATTGTTTTATTTTGACTCACTTATTTCGATAATTTTTATATTTCAAATATTTTCAGGTATACATTGAAGGATACTTGGTATAAGTTGTAAAGAATATGAAGTTGTTTCTTTATTTTGTGTATGTGTGTATTTTTTGTGTTCCGTCTTTTGTAAAGTTAACTAATTATACATAATTATGATGATTTTGGGTATGGAATGATGGTTGTTTTGGTGGTTTGGGTATGTAGTGATGATTGTAAGTTTTGTAGACAGGTTTATATTTTTCTGTATATCTATTTTTAAAATAAATTCTGCATAAATTTCTTGAAATTAGTAGGGATTAACTTGATGTTTTGGTGGTTGGATATGTGTTGATGATTGAATATGTATTAATTTTGGTGGTTCTAATTTTTCGTTACGTCGTGCCTTCAGGCACGGGCAATTACTAGTATATATATATATATTCACTTGTGTGTGTTCTTCGTAATAAAAACTTAAACATTTATTAGGACCCTACACTTATCAATCATGCATTAAATGTCATGTCATCATCACATAAAAAGTTTTTTTTAAGTTATTAGAAAAGGGACGGGGGCAAAGTAGAGAGCACAGAGATCACCTCGACAGATTTTCAGTGATGGGATCATGAGGCCTCTAACTGTGCCTATGCACTCGTCTCAGGAATGAACTTAATATAGTTATCATAACGATCAACCACTGAACCCTAATATAAATTCCAAAATTTGAACCTACAACTTCAGAATCAGAAATTCGATCGGTACCTTGTTGAACCACCCCACTCAGTGCATCAAAATTAAAACACCAATGGGTCATAATATAATTTTGAGATTTGCTTGAACAGTAGTAATATTAGATCATAATTTAATAAAGACTTTCGCCATTGATTCATTGAGTTAGTATTATATATATTTTTTTATAGAATGTTTATATTTGCAATAACTATTTTAATACGTACTAAACTTAACGGAAGGTTAATACGTACTAAACTTGAAAGTATGAGATATGTAGTCAGTTACATAACCATCTGTCAGAGTTTAGTACTATATTTAAAATCTTCAAATCGGTAGCATTGGATTAGATCCTTAAGTGGTGAAATGAAGATGGGTTGATCTTCTATACACATTCTTACGGGAAGGCTACGGTACCGCTGGTCAAAATTTGGTACCGTACTGAAAATCTGTGGGCCTTACAAGATGAAAACACAAAAAGAAAAAAAGAAGTGCATAAAAGGGCAACCGGCTAAAAGGTTCTTGCAAGTTGAAAATAAATTTTGATCGAGCATAATTTACAATGATCAATTGAACTTTACTTTTGAAGTACAACAAGATGGGTAACAATAGATAGAAGATGAAGGTTGGGGTTGGGGTTGGGGTTGGGGTTGGGGGGTGGGGGTGGGGGGTAACACTAGGTAGAACAAAGATCGATCATTATAATTATGATCGATCAAATTAGTAATTATATTTTTTTTTTGAAAAGGTAATTATGTTCGATTTCAAAAGGAGTGTGATGGAAAAAATATTATGATCGATCATAAACTTAAATGATCGATCAATTTTTTAAAATGAGTTAAAACAAGATGGATGAAGGTGATGGTTACTGGGGAACAGTAGGTATATTTTTGATCGATCAGTGTACTTTTAAAATGATCGAGCATAAGTTTTATGATTGATCATTTTATAAATATGTTAGATTTATGAAGGAGTGAAATGTTATGTGATCGAACCAATAAATTGTGGTTGATAAGACACTAAGGGCTCGTTTGGTAGACGTATTATGAGGAGATTAAATATTATATTGTATTATTTTTTATTTAATCGGACCTAATATTTTGTTTGGTAAATAAATTTGACACCGTATTAATTTCAAAAACGTATATTTATCGTATCTTTATCGTATATTTTTTATACGTTAGATCTGTATTATGGAGGTATTTTAATACCATCAAAAGATGTGGTATTAAAATACAACTCAAACGTATTATTTTACACATTTACCATTATAACATTCTAACTGATAAAATCAAACTGTCATCAATGTAACAAACAATAATTAAGGGTAATTTTTGTTAATTCAATATTAATACGATAAAATAATTCTTTAACCAAACAACCGATTGGATTAAATAATTACTAGCCAACGTTTATGTTGTGTATTACCAAATACTAGATAAAATTATGTATTATTCTAATACCATAGTTAGTCTTGTCTTTTGTCCTTCTGTATTGTATTAGACCGAATTATTTTATCTAATCCATCCATTTCTAATACGGCAACCAAACGAGTCCTAAATATTTTGTAATCGATCTAATAATGGTAGATCGATCATTAAAAATATGATAATTTACTATCAAAAAAAATTCAAAATAATAAACATAATATTATGGTTTGTGATGGATCAATAAAATTACGATTAATCAACAGAAATTGTTCAATACAAAATACATTAAATTCGATTTGAATAAAAGATATGAAATTACAAAAAATACCTGATGTAAATAGATGGGCATAAGGCAATTGCTGTTGGATTTTTTTGTCATTTTGCACCTTAAGTGCTATCGATACCCATTGCTGATGTATTACCCCGCCATTACTCAGTTCTCCCAAACCCTAACCCCTTTTTACTTGAACAAATTATGAACACTACATACCCCCAATCGACTATACTCCTTAACATATGGGTCCTATGTACATTCAATCAAAAAAGTTGTAATCCCTTCTAAATTGATATGGCTGGAGGAACAGCTGGAGCAACAAAGAAGAGGAAGACAATGAATAGGACAACTAAGCAAGTCGTTACTGCCCAGAAAAAAAAAGGATGGTGAAACAAGTAAGAGTTCAAAAGGTGACACTAGTTTCTTGAATGAAGAAGCAAAAACATTGTTTGAAACCTGTTTTGTCATTGGCCATTGTTAGTGGAACGAGGCGTTGCACTTGGTGAGTTAGTTAATACCGAGTGTCCTGAGTTTTTTGGAGGTCGTAATTGGGAGAACATCTTTGATGTTAAGAAGGATGATAAGGCATATAGCAATGTAGTTAGATTGTTTTATACAAATTTACATGACTTTGCTAAGGTTGGGTACACTTTGAAGTCTGTAATTAGGGGTAAAGAAATAGAAGTTTCCCCTGATTTTATTTCAAAAATGTTGAAAGTTCCCAGGCCTGTCATCACTGAGAATACCATTGTATTTCCTTACAAAAGTAAAGAGGAAGTCCCTAGCATGGAAACGGTTATTGAGACAATTTGTGATGTTGCTATCGAATGGGTGGATGAGAATAGTAAAATTTATCAGAAAGACCTTCGTTTGCCTTATAGGGATGTTAAACATAATAGTTGTTTGTAACATTGATCCCAAAGGATATACAACTGAACTTGGATATGATAGAGCTCAATTTCTATGTGCGATTGGTAAAGGAGCATGCATTGACCTTCCCCATTGCATATTTCAGCTGATTATGAATGCCATGAGTTGCAGGATAACAGGCGACGTCTTCCATTTCCTATTTTGATTACAAATATTGTGAAGGTTTATGGGGTGTGATTGAACCTAGCGAATCGTATACTGCTGCCATGTGTATGATAAATGAGGGTACTATGAAAAAAAGTGTTGGTCATGTTGGGCCTAAAAATTGTGCAAGACTATGTCACAGGTGTCTTACTCCCAAATTGAGGGCATTACTGTGACAGAGGGCGAACGTTCAAGTGTCAGTCCATTCAACATGAATACTATTGGAGAAAAGCTGGAGCAAATAGTAACTGGGCAAAATTGTTTGGCCACACAGTTGCATGTTGTTCAGGAATGCATGAAGGGATCTTTGGAAAAGTTGGAGAGTAAGATTAATGGACTTTACAAGGAATTTAAAGAGTATGGAAAGACATGTTGATGGATTTTATGTGGAAGAAATTCCTATGAATGGAAATGTGTTATATTTGTAAATCTTTTGGGCCATATTAGATTTGGCGACCTTGTAACCTATAAAATGTAATTATTCTGTTGAACAAAATCTTTTTGCAATGGAATGAATATATTTTGTTGTACGGTGTTGTTAATAGTAGTTTTTACAAATTCATTATTTTCAGTAACATTACAGTAGTTTTTTAATCATGTATACAAAATGTAGTAATGTAACCTTACATCAACATGCAGTAACCTCACATCAACATGTAGTAACCTTTATCAAAATGTTATAACCTCACCCTAAAGATTATAACTGCTATAAGGTTACCTCATTCCACTGATAGGAGTAATACAACAAAGCAATGACCCTTGTATAGAGCAGTAGTTTCCTCCCTCTTAGCCATCTTTGTTTATCCCCCAAAATTCCATATACTTCCCCAAACCAAAATACCAACTACACACAAGTGAAATCGTGCATAATATTTGTTAGTTCAACAACAAAGCAGCATACATTGGAAGAAAAAAAGCATCAACATATTGATCAATTGGATAGGCAAGCATGCAGAGAATAAACATGTAAATGAGATTAGTAATATAACTGTAGGTGAATCCCACCTGGTTCATGTTGGTCATATAGCAATTGTAGACGTTTGGCACTCCTGATTTGTGTACATGAAAGTTGTTCAAAAATGAGTTTCGTACATCAAACTTGTCCAAAAGTGGGGGTTTTACACTATGTAAAAAATTTGAACTATTTTTTAATCAATTTAAATAACGTTGATTATGTAACTTTCACAGCGATATGAAAATGCTCACCTGGACAACCCTTAAAGTGGAGTGAAAAATTGTCCATGACCACTTGACTGAAAGTCATGAAAACCATCCTGAACAATCAATTTATCGATAAAGAGTGGTTAGTTAAATGGTGCATTGCTTGATAACTTATAAAGCAGCAAATACAAGGGGAACTTTGTGTTATAAAGATGTTATTGAACTCCACCCAGTTTTACATACATGTGCAAAAGAGTTAAAAGGACCCTGAGTCGGCAATGGTTGCTAGGATCCACCTGCTTGTGAAAGGGCATGTCCTCATATGGATCAGTAGTCTGGGTAGTTAACAAAGGACATTTACGAATATTATGTCTGGTTGTCCTGCACTTGCTACATCTTCAAGACGTAAATGAATTATTATTTCGTGTACGGCCTGGATGTCCCTTTGTTGTAACAATATGTGGATCAGCTACCCCAAACTTAATTAACTCAGTAGTCCTGATTTTGTGTTGTGAAGAGGTCTCTTCTACTCTACCAAGGGATTCATGATTGGTTTTCATCTGAGAGATTAATCCATGCAATGTACCAAGGGATTCATGATTGGTCTTCATCTGAGTTGTTTTGTAACCATGCGAAACATAGTAACACATACGACTACAATGGCCACTAGTCCAGCATACCGTGTCAAAATTGTCAGAGTATTACTTCTTGGCGGCACATCCTCATTTCCTAAATCTCCCTTTGCAGAAACAGTCCAGCGCTTCAGAATGAGACTTGGAGGGAACCGTTTAATTTGCTCATATTTTAGTACTACTATGATGTGGCAGCATGGAATACCAATAGATTCCATTTTCAAGTAGTTGCACTTCATACTATAATTTTGAGGATAACATATGACATTCCATGTTGATTCTGGTTACGTGTAGTGAGACAAGTAGTAACTTCAATGGATCCCGTTGTCAATTTTTTAGACTACAAAGAACATGGATTCGGACTTCAACTTATTGTGCACTTTGAAGAACAATTTTCTTGTATATATGGATGTTGCATGCTCTTCAAGACGACACCATAATTGTGTGGTTGTCACCGGGATGTGTGTTGGGTATCATGGTCATCATTTGCTTCATTCTCCCTGATCCTTGTCAAAGCCCAGTTGTATTGCCTCACAAACTCAAAGAGTCGGAGATGGGTCTTCAGAAAATGATTGAAGTATGAGTTCATACCCTCACATCGTTGTATATTTTTTAAATTGACCTCTTAATTATGCTTCAGCCCACCTTGACCGTTTGGAATAAACTTTTGATATCCAATTATTATTCTCCAATCCAAATGAATCCACCAACGCTTTCCATCGATCCTTAAATTCTTCCGGACTACAGCGACCACACATACAATGTTTAAATTGTTGAACAAAATTTTCAGCACTAATATTTGACAATGCATTTCTTATCAAATGCCACCTGCATAATCTGTGTGTTGAATTGGAGAAAACTTGCTCTATTGTTCCTGCCATGGCCTTATCATGATCAGTGACAACTGAAATAGGTGTCTTACCCTCCATTACATGAAGAAAAGTATGCAATACCCACATGTATGTGGCAACAGTCTCATTTGAGAGCAAGGCGCACCCCAAATTGATGTTGTGTTATGGTTGTTCACACCTGCAAGTATAACGAAAGGTTTCTTATATGCATTAGTTCGGTATGTGGTATCAAATACCAAGACATCGCCGAAGCATGCATAGGTGAGGATGAGTCTGCCCAGAACAAACAATTTAGTGAATTATCTTCATGGACACTGTAGTTGAAATAGAACATAGGGTCTGATTCTTTTTTTTCCTAAAGTAGTTTAACGCCCCCCTCCGCATCACCGTCTTGAAGTTGAGATCGACATTCTATCACAACATCATTTTACAAATCTTTCATGGTAAACCCAAACATTATGATACCTCCTGCTTGTTGCACCAAAAAATTCCTTACTTAACTTGTATTTATGTCATCATTACGCAATACATTTGTTTGTTCTCTATCGGGACTTTTCACATGCCTATGCGATCGAAGGAATGACCACCCACATGTTGTAACCAATTGGTGATTATGTTCCTGGACGAATTCCTTTACAACCCATTGTCAAACTTGATACGAAAAGATGTGTTACATCCCACCCTTGTTAAGCCTCTTGGTTTGGATGCGGTCACTCCGGTCAAGGTGTTTAGATGATCGATAACCTTTTCTTGAACAAAACCCGTCGTCTTGATACAGGATATTTTTGTTACACTTCAAGTCATCCTTCGAACCGAACACTAAATCCCAAAAATTGTGCGTAATTGTTATAAAACTCCTCAGCCTTCTTCATGTGTGTTGAACGTCATTTGCATTATCTCATCCCACTGTCAACCCATCGACTCT